CACCGGGGGAGGACAGTCTGGCATCGGGATCCTCGTACAGAGCGAGCGAGACCCGGTCTACCTTGAGCAGCGCGTGGACGCGTTCTTGCGTGAGATGTCGGAGAAGATCGAGGCCATGCCCGAGGCCGAGTTTCTCGAACACAAGACCGCCCTGCAGAAGCAATGGCGAGAGGCCCCGAAGAACCTCAACGAGGAGATGAACCGGTTCTGGATTCAGATCGAGTGGGGTTACCTCGACTTCCATCGACGTGAGTCTTTCGGCTGTCGCCTTGCGTCAGTGAATGGCTAAGCAATCATTGCAGGGGACATTGAGGCTGAATTGATTGAGAGCATAACCAAGGAGGAAGTGCTCGCCCTCTATCGCTCTCATGTGGACCCCTCGTCGCCAGAGCGGGCAAAGGTCTCGGTGCACCTCAAGTCCCAGAAACCCCGGCCGGCGAAGATCAGCGTAGCTGCCATGGAGGCCTTCGCGCAGAAGGCCTCTGGAAAGGGTTACTCTGTGGACGAGCAGGCATGGCGGGATGCGCTCGCTGCAGATGGCGATGCTGCGCTGGACAAATTTGGGAAGTACTGGCGCGATACGCTTCTGGCACAGACAGCGACTGTCCCTCCCACGGTTGCCCAGGAGCTCACTGCAGAGATTCCAGCGCTGCTCGAACAGTACCCCGCTGCTGACTCGGAAGAGAAGGTCGTGCCAGACGAGCGGGCGGTATTCATCCAGGATCCCAAGGCGTTCCGCGCGTCGCTCCCTGTGACTGAGAAGCCACGGCCGTTGGTTGAGTGGAATGATCTTCCTACGTCCAAGTTTTGATTATGTACCGTACAATAGCTGTATGGCGGTATTCTGTATCTATAGGACCCTTTCATTGTCTTCGTTGTTCCAAGGAGTAGCGTTTGTGGTTCAGAGTCGCAAGCAATCAATGTCAGAGATCTAAAGACAATTGAGGTAAGCGCTGAGCGACTTGTTCTAGCGACGTGGGAGCAACTAGGCTCGCAGTGCCAGCCTCTAGTTACTCGTACCTCATAATAGAGGCTGGTTCTACTTATCGAGGGGGGTGCGGAGGGGTACCGTGAGAAAAT